ATTACCTTTTGTTAAAATTTTTTGAGACAGGGTTTCACTCCCATTGCCTAAGCTGAAGGAAGTGGCATGATCTCGGCTCACTGAAACCTCTGCCTCCCGGGCTCAAGCAATTCTCCTGCCTCAGCCTCACTGCAGGCACACATAGTCCCACCTGGCCAATTTTTGTATTTTTGGTAGAGACGGGGTTTTACCATGTTACCCAGGCTGATCTCGAACTCCTGGGCTCAAGCGATCTGGCTACCTTTGGCTTCCCAAAGTGCTGGGATTACAGGCGAGAGCCACTATTCCCCGCCTAATACCTAACAAGATTAACAATAATTTTTTAATGTGTATCTAATAACCAGAGAGAGAGTAGGTTTTTAAGGAATTTAAAATATTTTAATATGTAAAATATATGTATATTTAATATAGAATTATATGTAACTGCGTGTATATATACTTTTTGAGTTAGGGTCTCCCTCTGTGGCCTAGGCTGGAGTGCAATGGCACAACCATAGCTCACTGCAGCCTCAACCTCCCAGGCTCAATTGATCCTTCCACCTCAGCCTCCTGAGTAGCTGGGACTTACAGGCATGCACTAGCATGCCTGGCTAATTTAAAATTTTGTTTTGTAGAGGTGAAGTCTTACTGTGCTGTACAGACTGGTCTTGAACTCCTGGGCTCAAGTGATCCTCCCACCTTGGCTTCCCAAAGTGCTGGAATTACAGGTCTGAGCCACCGTACCTGGCCAGGAGATACTTTGAATAAGATGGGTTGAGATTACCTAAAGAGGTGGCAAGAGAAAAGGGCTCAGGAGTGAACTCTAGAGAGTACCGGCACTTAAAATGAGCCCAAGAAAGAAGTCAGAAGTGGTAGAAATACACAGAAACTGGTGTAGTAGAGTTTCAGAAGGATAGAGGTGATCAGTACTGTTACATGCAACATAGAGGTACGCTGAAAAGCATCCATTGGATTTAGGAAGTAAGATGGCATTGTTAATCTTAGCAAGAAAAGTTTAAGTATAGTGCTGGAGACAAATCAGAATGGAGTTGATAGAACAATGAATGACATGAGAAAAAGGTGATGACTAGTGTAAGCTATTCTTTGAAAGAGTTAGGTGAATAAGGAAGGAGGTAATAGCTAGAAGACATGAGCTAAGGGTAGGAAGGTAATGGAGATCGGAAGACTTGAGCATGTTTATAGCTGTTGGGGTGCAAACTGTTGAGAGAAAAATACAAGTGTTTATGAGATAACTGAAATAATGAGCAGATGGCTGGACATAGTATCAAGGAAGTAAGAAAGGTCCTAGAGAGGAAGAACTAATGGGTATCAAGGTAAGAAAAACATGTTGAGAAATATGTAGCAGGAATGGGAACTTACAATTGAGAGGAATCAAACCCACTGGCCTTGAATTTCTAGGTGAAGGAGAGATGATGTCTTAATAATGAGGTAGAAATGGGCATTGAGTAAAAGGGCTTAAGGAAACTGGTAAAGGTTTGGAATACTGAGGGGAAAGGAAAGAGATGGTGGAAGGCCATGGAAGCATGAGTCAGCAGTACTGAGCACTCAGTGGTGCTTGGAGACCACAACTGTAGTGGTAACAGTCTGTATTTTTTTATCCAGCAATACTCAGCTCCCTGTGTGTAGAAGTAGAGAAGGTAGACTGTAGTTTTTTTTCCAAGGCTGGCATTTTACTGGGTAGATACTGCTGAAGGAAATACAGGGTGCAGATAGTTCAACTGGTCAATAATCCATGATCCAGGTTGGATAGGTAAAGAAGGGGTTAGGAGGGGATGCCTAGGTAGGTCAAAATGAAGGAATCATTTTGAAAAGTAGAAAAGCAGATTGCTAGGAGAGGGAGGGTGAGAGATTTTGGTCAGAAAATGGGGTATTGGAGTTTAAAGTATCAAATGCAGAATAGTTCCAGATGTTCAGAGATCTGGCATGGGATTAGGTACTAAAATGGATTAGAACTAAAGGTCACTAGAATTTAGAAATTGAGAACCATGAGAGTAGATGCAGTGACTTGCTGCTTGATTGAAAAATAATAATAATAAAGGACCATGAGACTAGCCTGTTGTAGGGTTTATCTGCATGAACATTCAATTTTCCCAGGATCATAGCAGGAGTTGGGTAGAGAAAAAGATTATGAGAAGGTGCCAGAGTCTTCAGTGAATGTCAGGAAATTACCAGGAAGTCAGCATATGACAGAGAAAAGGACAGTATGTTATCTGCATCAAAGGAAAATGTGCTTTTGTTGAAAAGTACAGAAAAAGCCAATACTACAAAACTATGCTAAGCCCCTACCTGTACTCCCCAGCCAACAGCTGCCTTCCGGACCCTGTGGTATAAAAGGTGTGAGAATGAGCATCTCCCACCAGAAATCAGACAGGTTTAGTTAAGGCAGTGAGGCAGAACAAGCATCCTATGAAGAGGCTGAGGATGTAGGTGAGTGGTTCTAAAATCTCAGTAGAAGGAACATTGCAAGTACAAAGAGCCAGCAATGAGGATGCACAGAGCAGTCTAGAAGTAGAGGTGAGACCAGCTAGGAGATGAAATGAGGAGATGTCTTCTGTTCTGTGCTGGAGAAGTACTGGTAAGCGTGGTGTGTTTGGGATTCACTGGCCTCAGCCATCCTTACTTTGGTACAAGTTATTTTGGTACAGAACCACTAGAATGTCCCAAAGGCTGTAGTACAGGAACATTCCTGAAAGGACAAAAGCTGCCATGAATTTTGAGAAATTGTATGGTGGCAGGTACAGCCTGGGTCTGAGCAAGACTGCTGGATGGTGTGTGGGTAGATAGTGAAGTCCCAGATTTGGGAACAGATTGGACCTCAGATATCCAGAGCAGCACTGTAGAATCTAGTTGCATATAATGATGTTTTTAAAAGGGTATCCTAGGCTGGGCACGGTAGCTCACGCCTGTAGGCCCAGGCCTTTGGGAGGCCAAGGCGGCAGATCACTTAAGCCCAGGAGTTCAAGACCAGCCTGGGCTACATGGCGAAACCCCATCTCTATAAAAAAATTAAAAATAAAAGTAAAATAAAATAGTGGGCGTGGTGGCATGTACCTGTAGTCCCAGCTACTCAGGAGACTGAGGAAGGTGGATTGCTTGAGCCTGGGGAAGTCAAGGCTGCAGTGAGCCATAATCATGCCACTACACTCCAGCCTGAGTGACAGAGTGAGACCTTGTCGCCAAAAAAAAAAAACCAAACAAACAAAAAAAACAGGGCTACCTTACTCTGGAAGAAACACATGTAGCATTGGCTGAATAAAGAAATGAAGCTTCATGATGAAGGACATTTGGAATCAGTGCAATAAACTTTTTGTCTTGTAGCTATAACAAGAATGCATGGCTTTGAAAATCACTGCAGCAGTATATATTTAGCATCTGCTTGCTGAATAGCAGTCTCTTGTGACTGAGGATGATTTTCCATGGTTCCTTTTTGTATTCTGAAATGACTAATGGAACCATCTGGGATCAGCAGATTTTAACTCCCTGAAGGCTGGAAAAGACTTACTTGGCTTTATAATTCCCCACAAAGTCAGGCCCGGCGCTTTGCACTTAAGTGTTTATTGAATAAAAGAGTGACTTGTGTGGAAGTTATTCATTCTGCTTTAGCTGTTTTTGTCATTCATTCCCTTTTAACTCCTATATGGTAGTTTGTTGTGACTTTAACTTTCTTACGCTTTTTTTGTGGAGCTGCTCAATAAATATTTGACATAGGTATTATGCCGTTTTATGGCTCATCCAGTGTCACATAGCTAGTGAGTGGCAGAGCCAAAGCTCAAAATCAATTTCAGTGGATTCTGAAGGTCAGGTGCTTTGCGGTACACTAGAATTAGTACCAGTGTAAGAGGCATAGGGGTGATCCTGTTTCCTGAGCATAAAGCTTTATTTAGCCCTGTGGTCCTACCCACTCATGCAAGGATGCTTCTTTCTCATCTGACATGAGAGCCCAGATGACTTGAGAGATCAACAGTGTCTCCTCAACGCTGCCCTGCCCAGCGTTCCTGCAGCCCGCTCTCTACAGGCAGGCAGTGTCAGCGGAACGTTGTTCCTGGAGTATTCTTCATTTTAGTTGCTTTACCCTTGCTTCATATATTTGTGTGTCTCACATTTTAGATTGCGTTCAAATATCTGTGAAGCACTTTTTAAAAAAAAAAAATTGTGGTAAAATATACATAAAATTCATCATTTTAAACTTTTTTTAAACTATGATTCTGAATTTAGAATACTTCTGATGTATAAAATGCTATGTAAAATACGATTTTGCTGTTGGCTTCTGTATTAGTTTTTCACTGCTATATAACAAATTCCTATAAATTTAGCAGTTTAAAACAGCGTACCTTTGTTATCTCACAGTTTCTATGGATCAGGAGTCCAGCCACAGCTTAATTGGGTCCTCTGCTCAGGGTCTTATTGGGCTACAGGCCAGTTGTTGACTGGGCCTGTGGTCTTTATCAGAAGCTTAACTGGGAAAGATCCACTTCCAGGTTTCCACTGTTGGCAGAATTCATTTCCTCCAAGCTGTAGGACTGAGGTGCCCATTTCCTTGCTGGCTGTCAGTGAGGGACCACATTTAGCTTCTAGGATCTGCCTGTAGTTGGTCCCTTGCCATGTAGTTCTGTCCATGAGCCTTCTCATAACATGGCAGCTTAGTTCTTTAAAGCCAGCAAGGGAGAGTTTCTGACTCTCAGGGAAGGCCTGGACCCCCTTTAAAAATCTACCTGATTAAGTTAGGGCCACCCAGGATGGTTTCCTTTCTGAATAACTCAAAATCAACTGATTTGGGACCTTAATTACTTCTGTAGAAACCCCTTCACTTTTGTCTTATAATCTAATCATGGGAGTGATATCTTGGCATATTCTGTTGGTTGAAAGCAAGTCTCGTAGGTCCCACTTATGCTCAAAGGGAGTGATTACACTCCCCTTGGTGAGAATATGGAGTCTGAAAACGGGGCAGGGGGCGTCTTAGAGTCTGTGTGCTACGGTTTCCTTTTTTATCCATTTCATAGGGTTTTTTATCAGCAATTGGACACCCTTTCCCCAAAATGATTTTTAATCATGGAAGGAAAAAGAGAACTTGGAATTACCTTGAATTTGAAGAAGAAGAAGATAAACAGTTAGCAGACTCAATGGCTTCTCTGGCATATCTAGTATTTGTACAGGGCATCCGTATTGATCAGCTTCCAATGGTCTTAAGGTAAGAGTTATTGTTTGGTTTATTCATGTATTCCAAAAGGAGTTTCATAAAATTCTCATCTATCTAATGTCCAATATATGCATATTAACACACTAATACATTTTAAATAAATAATAAAGGCTATTTTTAATAAGAATGGTCCCAGCTATAATCTGTTAAAGATAGCAGTAGACAAGTAATGAAAGTGGGGGGTGTTGAAATAGGTGTAAGGGAATGGTGGGGACAAGAATCAGAAGATGATAAACTAGGCTTGGTTTTGAAGCTTTTGAGACCACCCTGGAACTAGCCAGGTACCCAGGGGTATCATCATCTTTTCACTGGATTACTGCTGTAATCCTAAGTGGATATTAATATATCCACTTCGACTGCCTTTTAATTTAACACATTCTCAACATACCAGAAAGTGAAGCCTTAAAAGAAGTCCCTTACTGAAAACCCTCCAGTGGCTTCGTATTGCTTTAAGAATAATGTCTTAATGCCTTTGCATAACTTCTGAGACAAACTTATGCTTGGTCTGTTCCCTGCTTGATTGACCTGATTCATCTCCTACCACCTTTCCTCTTGTTTGCTATGCGCCAGTGACACAGACCTTCTTTTGTTTCTTGTTTAAATGTTATGCGTTTTCCAGCTATTTGGCCTTTGTATATGCTTAAAATTATCTTTATCCTGAAATGTCACTTTCTGAGCAAAGCCTTCACTCACCACCCAATTTAGGTTGAATCCTTCCATTGTAATTACCTTGACCTTGTCTTCTTTTCCCACAATGTTCGTTAAAATTATTTTTAAAATACATAATTTTATAATGTAATATCTTCTGGACTTTGAGTTCTGTGATAATAAGGATTGTGTTTTTGTCTCTAAGCATTGGGTGTTTGTGTGAGTTTGTATATTTATGAATATACCTAGGAGTATATTTGTATGTAAATGTTGTGATAATGGCTATCATTTGCACGTGCACCATGTATGAAACATTATGCTAATAACTTTATATGCATTATCTCATCCTTATAATAAGCCTGTGAAATAGAGCATTCTTTCATTTTACAGATGAAAATAACAGGCTTAGACAGGTTAATATACCACCGAAGATCTAACTACTTTGTGGCATAAGGTGGGATTCAGACAGCTCTGTCTGACCCCAGAGCCTGTACTCTTAAGCATCACAGTCTGTCACCAAAATAACTTATACAGCATATGTGTATTGATTTGCTAGGGCTCCTGTAAAAAAGTGCTACCAACTGGATGGTTAAAATAACAGAAATAGTTTGTCTCATAGTTCTGGAGGCTCCTTCTGAGGGTTGTGAAGGAGAATCTTCTCCATGCCTCTCTCCTGGCTTCTGGTGATTTGCTCGCAATCTTTGATGGTCTTTGGCTTGTAGATGCATTATCCTGTTCTCTGCCTTCATGTTCATACGCTGTTCTCCCTGTGTGCTTGTGTCTGTCTCCAAACTTTCCTTTTTTATAAGGACAACAGTCATATTGGATTAGGGCCCACCCTAATAATCTCACTTTAAATTGATTCCCTCCATAAAAACCCCTATCTCCAAATAAGGTCAGATTCTGAGGTACTGGAGGTATGGACTCTAACATGTTTTTTGGGGGAGATACAATCCAACCCATAACAGTATGTATGTGCGTACATCTCTGTGTGTGTATTATATATATATTGGTTTTGTTTCTATTTTAGCCCATTGTACCTTTTGCAGTTTAATATGGGGCATATTGAAGTCTTTTTGCAAAGGTAAGATCATTTAGATGGTATCTCAAAATGAAACAGTGTTAAAATAGTCCTTGTTAAGATCAGCAGAGACTGCCTTCTCTTTGCTAGGCTCTAATTAATTAATTGGTTATTTTATAGAACAGCTTGGCAAATAATTCACGAGAGAGACAGAAATGAGTCAAAGAGGTTTTACACCAAAGTCTCTTTTATTTTAAACCTAAGACAGTATTAAGATTTTGTCTTAAGGGCTTTTCCAGTCATCTCTTTCTAAGGTTTCTTCCCTTATTCCAAAAGTTGGTAATTAAAACACCCCTACCCTACTGCATCCTCCTCCATCTTAAGGAAGGGCAGTCAATAAAAGACATTCATCCGTGTTTTTCCTTCATGGACACAGTCTGTGAATTGCATCAAAAGGAAGGAGGTGTCTTGACTTCCACTTTTTATAATTGAGATTATTGACAGTGATATCATTTAATTACAACTTTTCTCGTTTGAGGTGCTAAGCAGCAGGACTTTCTATTTAAAAAAAAAAAAAGGCCGGGCGTGGTGGCTCAAGCCTGTAATCCCAGCACTTTGGGAGGCCGAGATGGGTGGATCACAAGCTCAGGAGATCGAGACCATCCTGGCTAACATGGTGAAACCCCATCTCTACTAAAAAAAAATACAAAAAACTAGCCGGGCGAGGTGACGGGCGCCTGTAGTCCCAGCTACCCGGGAGGCTGAGGCAGGAGAATGGCGTGAACCCGGGAGGCGGAGCTTGCAGTGAGCTGAGATCCCGCCACTGCACTCCAGCCTGGGCGACTAAGCGAGACTCAGTCTCAGAAAAAAAAAAAAAAGGCCAGGCATGGTGGCTCACGCCTGTAATCCCAGCACCTTGGGAGACCAAGGCAAGAGGATTGCTTTACCCCAGGAGTTCGAGGCCAGTCTCTCTCTCTACAAAAAATCTGAAAAATTAGCCAGGTGTGGTGGCGCATGCCCGTTGTCCCAGCTACTTGGGAGGCTGAGGTGAAAGAATTGCCTGTACCGCGGAGGTCTAGGCTGCAGTGAGCAGAGATCACACCACTGCAGTCCAGCCTGGGCAACAGAATAAGACCCTGTCTCAAAAGAAAAAAAAAAGGAAATTACAGAGTAACAAGTATACATAATTTCTAGACAGAAATTAAAGAATTTCGCAAAACTGTATGCTTTGTTTTCTTTCACTATAACATGTAACATGTTTAAATTATCCCCTGAGATCAGTTAGGGCTTTGCAGTTATCCTCCTGGAACACTAGTGACAGTTTATCAATCCCATCTCTTACCAGGTGAAGGAAGATTTGTAACATGGCAATGTGCAAATCTTCAGCATACAAGGCAGGAATTTCCAAGGGTCTCCTGGCACAAGTAGTTACTAACTCTGTAAATTTGCTGTATTTTGTATGTGTTAATGATTTTATATTCATTACATTTAGTTTCTGTTATTCATACAGTGATAGTATGTATTGTTTTGAATCTAAGTCCTATATTCTTGAGATTTCCAAACTGCATAGTCATTGAATCTTTTTTTGAATAAAAAGAATTGGAAAGATTTTACAGAACAATCAACTGGAATATATAGCATTGGTTATATCAGGTATAGTTAGTGGAGATCTATTGTTTTGAAGTTAGGAAATAATCCCTGAATAGATTTATTTTGGTCAGATTTAGCGGTCTTAGCCAAACCAAAAGACAGATCAAAGATGGATTAAAACTTTTGATCAAGTTCTTCAACAGAATTTCTCCTTAATGATATGCATTTTAAAAGTGTTAAAATTTCAAGTTTTGCTGTATTTTTCATCAGATGAAGTATCCTTCTAAAATAGTTTACAAATTCATGATAAATTGTAATATTATTTTTCAGAACAGAAGAGTCTGTTATCTCCAAAGGATTGGTAAGATGTTTGTTCCCATTATAACTTAAATACATAGTCTTGTCAACAAATAACAGCTGTTGACTTCACTATATATGTATCTGCATATATTTTAATCTGTAGGAGCTGCTGGAGAATAGTTTATTGAGAATAGAAGACAGTAGTCTACTTTACCAGTACTTAGAAATCAAGAGTTTTCTTACAGTACCTCAGGTAAATAAAATATGTATTCTAATATTGAAAATAGCCCTTTGCCTGTTCTGAACTTAAAGTAAGGTCTTTTCTGATTCCTTTCCCACTCTCTTCTCTGCAACCTTTGAAAACTCTGGTGTAATGCTGTCCAGTAGAACTTTGACCATATGAAAGCCACTAACCAAATTGAACACTTGAAATGTGACTAAGGAACTAAGTTGTTTTGTGTGTGTGTGTTATTTTTTTTTTTGAGACGGAGTCTCGCTCTGTCACCCAGGCTGGAGTGCGGTGGCACTATCTCGGCTCACTGCAACCTCCACCTCCTGGGTTCACACCATTCTCCTGCCTCAGCCTCCCGAGTAGCTGGGACTACAGGCGCCCGCCACCACACCCGGCTAATATTTTTGTATTTATAGTAGAGATTGAGTTTCACCGTGTTAGCCAGGATGGTCTCGATCTCCTGACCTTGTGATCCGCCCGCCTCCCAAAGTGCTGGGATTACAGGCGTGAGCCACTGCGCCCAGCTGGAACTGAGTTTTAAATTTTAATTTTAATTTGTTTAAACATGGATAGCTATTAGAGGCCACCATTATAAATAGCACAGCGTCCAGTAGAAAAGCATAACTTTCTTCTTTCAGTACTTTATTTCTGTAGGGATCTTGGAAAATGAAGCTCCTTTATGTTTCTCATAACTCAAGTTCTCAGGACTCCATCCAAGGCATCCACTGACTCATTACCATAAAGACTAATATACATTTTGTTTTTCCCTCCTATGGTTTATTTTGCCCAGTACTCTTTGTTATGATATCCAAGGACATCCTTAGATTTCAGCGTGGGAACTGGTTTTCCTGATATTTAAATAGAAAAACATGGTTTTTGTTAACATATTGTTTGATTGTTTTTAATTAATAAATTATATTTCTGTGGGTTTGATTTCATTTTCTTGCCACTGTAGACATAATTGAAAATTATCATTTGCTTTTAAAAGTACGCTTTGTGACACTCTACTCAATATCACTTAAAAAATCAATTGTAGTTAGCTTTCTGGAATGAAAGGCTTAGGGAAAAATTAATTTACTTCACTTTTAAATCTGCTACCCTCACTTCTCTGAATTTTTAGTAACCTATTGATGTATTGTAGTTGTTTGTTTGCAGTCAGTATAATCTGTTTACATCTGAATTTTACATTTTTTTATTTCCAGGGCTTAGTGAAAGTAATGACACTTTGCCCCATTGAGACACTGGTATGTAAATGTTTGGAGACTAAAGAATAATGAGTTACAATGAGAAAATTTGACAAATAATTTAATCTTCTTTTTAAAATTTTTAATTTGTAAAATTTTTATATATTTAGGAGGTACAAGTGTGGATTTATTACATGCATGAAATGGATAGTGATGAAGTCTGGGCAATCTTTATTCATTTGATATAATAATATTGTTTGTTCCATTTTAGAGGAAAAAGAGTTTAGCTATGCTTCAGCTGTATATTAACAAGTTGGATTCACAAGGCAAATATACATTATTTAGGTATGTATCAAGCATGGCTAATTGCTAAGTGTGTGGTTGATTAAAAATGATGTTAATGCCATGTAATTGTTTTAGGGCGTAGTGTGTCGGTATGTTTTACATGTAATTCAACTCTGGTTGGAAGCCATATTATACATTCTCAGTGATGGCTAGAGAAAGGGTTAATCAAATATTTCAGATACATACTATATATGTCTATATTTTGTATGACTAATAGTATATATTGCAGTTCAATCAATTGGAATACTCTAAATTTGAAATAGACCTAAAAATAATTAAACTGGGATGATGCTCCTGCTAGAACTTTATGTATGTCACTAATCTCCATTACTCACAGTTGAAATTGATGGCTTTGGAATTACAACTTTGATAGGCTATGCACTATGTTAATAGTAAGAGCTTACTAATAGTGCTCTTTGAGGTGGATAAGATTCTAGCAACTCTCTAAAGATTGGTAAACTTGCTAATTTTCTGTGAAGAGCCAAATGGTAAATATAGGTTTTATGGGCTATACAGTCTCTGTTGCAACTGGTCAATGTCAACTTTGTATTGGGGATGGGTGTGTTCCAGTAAAACTTTATTGATAAAATTGGGCAGCAGGCTGGATTTGCTAAAATGTCTTACTTGGGATTGGCCAGTATTAGCACTGTTGTTTTTGTGGGGGTGCAGCAGTGTGATCATGGCTCACTGCAGCCTTGACCCTTGACCTCCCAGCTTCAGGTGATCCTCCCACCTCAGCCTCCCAGGTAGCTGGGACTACAGGTGCATGCCGTCATGCCCAACTAATTTTTTTGTGGAGACAAGATTTTTCCATATTACCCAGGCTGGTCTCAAACTCCTGGGCTCAAGCAATTCACACCTACCTCAGCCTCTCAAAGTGTTGAGATGACATGCGTGAGCCACCATGCCCAGCCAACACTCTTGATCCTATCTTTTCTTGTTGTTCTATTGACAGTAAGAGCAAGTTTATGAAATCTCAATTCTTAGGTATTATACTAGCTTTCCTATTCTATTCTATCTGTAGCTCTACCAATAAATCCCCTTTTTTTCTTAAGCTAGTCTTACTTAGTTTTTTTGTTTGTTTGTTTGTTTTTGTTTTTTTTTTGTTTTTGCAATTAAGCTACTCTAGCACTAGACTACTTTCACAGGAAAGAATTTGGGGATTTTTTAGACTATTATGTTAGTGTCCTTTCTTGCCATGTTAAATTATTGTAACTATGGGCATAAAAATATTCAAATTTGGTTTGATAGAAATGGCTTGTTGGAAGATCCAGTTATAAATAAGAATTTATGGGCCAGGTGCGGTGGCTCATACCTGTAATCCCGGGACTTTGGGAGGCTGAGGCGGGCGGATCACGAGGTCAGGAGTTTGAGACAAGCCTGGCCAACGTGGTGAAACCCCGTTCTACTAAAAATATAAAAAATTAGCCAGACATGGTAACTGGCACCTGAAATCCCAGCTACTCGGGAGGCTGAGGCAGGAGAATCACTTGAACCGGGAGGCAGGGGTTATAGTGAGCCGAAATCGTGCCATTGCACTCCAGCCTAGGCAACAGGGTGAGACTCTGTCTAAAAAAAATAAAAATAAAAAAATAAGTTACCATTTAGTGAGAACAATAACTATTACAGGTGGCTTCGTAATTGGTTGATCACCTTGCTAATTACCATTACTGTGGGGTTTTTATTCCTAGAAGTAACACATGGCCTCTTTGAATTTGTAAGACTTTTATCACCATTTAATTCTAATGCCATCCAGGATAATTTCACATGTATTGTAATTTTTGCTTTCAAGGTGCTTATTGAATACAAGTAATCACTCTGGTGTGGAGGCTTTTATTATTCAAAATATCAAAAATCAAATTGACATGTCATTAAAGGTAAGAACATAGCCAAAGTGTCAATTGCCAATTTATTTTGTAGGGTATATTTATTCATATGTAGAATACATTTAATGTGAGTTATTGCTCTATCTCTAGTATTAATTACTATTACTTAAATATTAAGGCATATTTTTTCCCCTATTTCTACTATGTTTTAAAAACTCTGAATTTGGAAATTTTGTTAACTGTAAGTTTAAATTGTATTCTTTGAGCTTTTTTTTTTTTTTTTTTTTGATACAGGGTTTCACTCCTGTCACCCAGGTTGGGTGCAGTGGCACGATCTTGGCTCACTGCAACCTCCACCTCCTGGGCTCAAGCAGTCCTCCCAAATCAGCCTCCTGAGTAATTGGGACTGCAGGTGCTCACCACTGCACCTGGCTGAATTTTGACTTTGTAGAGATGGAGTTTCACCGTGTTGCCCAGGCTTGTCTTGAACTCCTGAGCTCAAGTGATCCACCTGCCTTGGCCTCCCAAAATGCTGGGATTACAGGTGTGAGTCATCACTCTGGGCCTCTTTTAGCTGATATTGTGGCTTCTTTTTGTTTTGTTATATGCTTCTGAAAAATGAATGGAAACTTAAGTCTCTTCTGTTTGTGAGTACTCAGTAATTCTACATGGAAAACAGAGTGACCAGTGTTCTCAAACTGGCAGGGTTTGTTCCTGGTGTCTGGGAAGTGAATGAAAGTATGGAAATTAAAGTTAAAAAATATATTTTAAATGTGCAATTATTTATTTTCGTAGTGTCAAGGTATTAGAAAAACACATGAATTATCAAGCTATTATTTAGAGCCTTTCTCAATTTTTCGTTGTTTTTCAGAGAACACATAACAACAAATGGTTTACAGGACCACAGTTGGTTTCCCTTCTTGATTTGGTACTTTTTCTTCCAGAGGGTGCGGAAACAGATTTACTGCAAAACTCAGATAGGTGAGGTGACCATTACTGAAGTTCACATAGTGAATTCAGAATAAAATGGGAAACATCTGCTTAGGGAACCTAAAGTAATAAAATGTCTTTTCCTGTGATTTTATGATTTATGGCTAATTCATTAAGTTACATAAAGATTTTTCATATATAAGTGATTTGATAATGTGTAGAAACAAAATAAAAAGCTCCTCTTTCTAGGTGAATGACCAACACCAGGATTTAATAGCTTTTATGTACCCAGCATTCCACAGAAATTTGCAATGACAGCATTTGTGACTTAAAACTAAAAATCTGTGTATGTATGTAATTTATGTGTTTAGATTTTGTTGTTTTATTGTTTTCCAGATCATTTTTTTTTTTCATATAGAACATATAATTTCAGTTTCAGTATACTGGAATGGATATTGAGAAATGGTTAAAAGCATTTAAAAAGGAATCTTAAAATTCAGAAAGCAAGAGATGATGCTCTCAAATACTAAAGATAACACTTTTTTAAAACAAGGATAATAATTTTCACAATTGTATGATTTGAACTTGAATGGAAAACAAGAGTGATAAGTTATTACTACTCAAAAAGATATTAATGGAAATAGTTTCTATTGGCAAACCTAATTATAAAAATATGCCCAAAGTTTTAGCTTATTAATTGAGATTTCTGTTGACTATATAAAACTATACTGTAAGTAACATGTATTTTCAATTAACAGGATTATGGCTTCATTAAATTTATTGAGGTATTTGGTTATCAAAGATAATGAAAATGACAATCAAGTAAGTGGAGTATTTGAAAAGAAACTGTGAGTATATTCAAAAGGCATAAAGAATGTTTCAGATATTCAGTACCTAAAGCCAATATTTAATATCTTACCCAGCTATAAAGGCCAGGAAGAGTTCCAACAATTATTCTGAAACCTGAAGTTAATTCCCAGGAGCATTTACCACCCCACATCCAGCTTTCCTTTCCCTTTCCATTTCCTATTGTATGTCTGTTTTCTTGCTGAAAGCACTTCGTTCTGTTGGGTAGATAAGTTGCAGGTCCTAAGTCAACTAACCTTGTGGAGCTCAATGTACATATGGGTGTCTTGTTCAGTTTCCTCCACCTCTAGCTCATGAGCTATATAAAATCATCTGATATTTTAATATTGCCTCATCAGACATGACAAATTGAGGCATTTTCAGCACTAAAACAGAATTTAATAGCACTTTTTAAGTAATGTTTAGGAAGTTGGATTTTTTAAAAATAGCACATCATTAGAAGTATTCAATAAATAGAAAACTATTTGAGGGAGATTTGTCATACAGTAAAATTATATTTGCTTTTTATCTTCTCTTTCTACCCTGTTCTGATAATTGCTTTCCCTATATGTGTCACCTCTATTAGCTAGAACTGCCTGAATCATGTGTTGTTAATTGTTTTTTTTTTTTTTTTTTTTAGTAATTGATTTTTATATAAAGATGCCAAAGAAAAACTTTTTTTTTTAATTAGGTAAATTGTGATTTGGGATGAAAGTTTATGGGAAAAGTAGCAGTCTCTTTCCTTCCTGACAGATCTACAGTAGATCCAGTGATTTGACCCCCTGTTCATCCCTCTGCAGCTGAAAATAGCTATTTGCCATCATTGACTAGTGCTTACTCTGTGTCAGGTGCTATTTTTTTTTTTTTTTAACATTTTGTTGTGAAAACTTTCAAATGTACAGCAAAGTTGAAAGAATTTTATAGTGGTCATTGGTTTACCCACCACCTAGAGTCTATGATTCTGCTATACTGACTTCATCATCTATCTATCACTCCATCCTCTATCACTCCATCCATCTATCTTGTTTTTTGATGTATTTCAAAGTAAACTGCAGACATCAGCATACTTTCTCCTAAATATTTCAGCATGTATTTCATTAAATTAAGTATTTGTCTGTAGTTTTTCTTTGAGGTAAAATTTACGTAATGAAATGTTCAAATTTTAAGTGTATATTCACTGAATTTCAACTAATGCATAGATCTATATTACTAAAACCCATATCAATATAGAACATTTCCAACATCACAAGAGGTTCCTCATGCCCCTTCCCAGTTAATTCTGACTTCATTGCGCCACTCACCCCTGTCAGGGACAACCACTATTCTGCCCAAGTGCTACATATCATTTATTCTTCAGAGAGGGTCTCGTTCTCTTGCCCAGGCTGGATTACAGTAGTATAATCATGGCTCACTGCAGCTTTGACCTCCGGGGGCTCAAGAGATCCTCCCACCTCGGTCTCCCAAAGTGCTGGGGTAACTTCCAGGCATGAGCCACCATGGACAGCCAAGAAAAGGACTCTTTATTTTTTACTTTTCATAGATAACGTAGGTGAAAAAAGATCATTAACTTGCACAAGGGCAAACATCTGGAAAGTGGTAGAAATAGCTATGACCCAGGCAGTGGCCAGAACTTTCTAAATCACAAACTAAATCCTGATTCCTGAAGGAGCTTGTGATAAAAATTGAAAAGCTACAATATAAAATTCAGCAGCAGTAGAGGCCCTGAGACTTCAGGAAGGTGGCCTTAGGGTAGGGTATAAGTTTTTATTTTTTTAGTAATCAAGAAAGGCTATACATACTTGAGAGATTATCTGTCTTGCCTGACAAAAACAAAAGGAATCTTGCTGATTAGGATTGATAGATGTGTTAGATATGGAACACAGAGTCATACAAAGGCAGCAGATTGGTCTCTGCCTAGAGAGGGAAGACTTGAGAGCAGTTTAGCATTGTGCAGTGTCTGCTGTACTATCCATAGATGATTCCTCACTTTTGTTTGGCATGTACATTTTCTGGTAAGGAAAAGGATACAGCCAGCCTGTAGGACTGCTTTTTTTTTTTTTTCTCAAAGAGACAGTGTGTCACTGTATTGCCCAGGCTGGAGTACAGTGGCACAGTCACGGCTCACTACAGCCTCAAACTCCCCAGCTTAAACAATCCTCCCACGTCAGCCTCCCAAAGTGCTGGGATTACAGGCACTTCTTTTTTTTCTTTTTTGAGACGGAGTCTCACTCTGTCGCCCAGGCTGGAGTGCAGTGGCACAATCTTTGCTCACTGCAATGTCCACCTCCTGGGTTCAAACGATTCTCCTGCCTCAGCCTCCCGAGTAGGTGGGACTACAGCCAGGCACCACCACACCAGCTGATTTTTGTATTTTTACTAGAGATTGGGTTTCATCATGTTGCCCAGGCTGGTCTCAAACTTTTGACCTCAAGTGATTCTCCCTCCTCAGCCTCCCAAAGTGCTGGCATTACAGGTGTGCGCCACCACGCCCAGCCAACAGGCATCTCTTATTTAATGGTTTTTAACAATTTGTCTAAGGGATCAAATATTCCAAATTATTGCTTTAGAAGTTACCATAAGAATTATACCAGGGAAATAAGCAAAAACCCAGTCTAAGGTGGCAACCTGACATCTTTTAGGCTCTTAAGAGCCTATCTATCTTGGAAACATTTCTCCCAAGTGCAATGACAATAGGTCGTGTGTATAATTGAGAGGCAAATAAGTCTACTGTGGTTAATAAAAAATGAATGACAGTTTCTGAGTTTTTGGAAGATTTGGTTAAAGAAAAAACAAAATGGGCCGGGCATGGTGGCTCACGCCTGTAATCCCAGCACTTTGAGAAGCCGAGATGGGCGGATCACGGGGTCAGGAGATCACGGGGTCAGGAGATCAAGACCATCCTGGCTAACACGGTGAAACCCCTTCTCTACTAAAAATACAAAAAAAAACTCAGCCGGGAGGCTAAAGCAGGAGAATGGCATGAACCGGGAGGTGGAGCTTGCAGTGAACCGAGATCACGCCACCCCACTCCCCCCAGGCGACAGAGCAAGACTCCGTCTCAAAAAAAAAAAAAGAAAAAACAAAATGATGGTCTGGTGATGCTGAAATATGGGGCATTTTATTCAAAAGGACTCCTACCAGTACCTATTTTTGAGCACTTAAGTGTGCTAAGAGGGTAATTAGATGAAAAGCAGACACACAGAAATATGAACAGGAAGATTTGAGAGAATCACATTCAAATACAAAGACAACAAAGTGATTCATAATTGAATAATAATCCATTTCTTTTCTTGCTATTTTGGGTTACTGTCAACTGACTTACTCTCTTCAGAAGCCATCCCTCCCCACCCTACTATTTCATGCCTCTTGTATCTCCTTGCTCAAGTTTCAGGCACCTTCTCTTACTCTTGAATATCATAGTACAAACATGCTCCCATCTTTACTAGTAAAACCAACTTAGTTTTTATACCAAATATTATCTATTTGGTGAGTATCTTTAAATAATTATTAGTTGTTTTGAATTACAATAATTTATTCTAATACGTATCTCATAATCATGTTATCCCTTACCTTCTGTCCTATGTACTCATATCCTTTCCCATCCATCTGTTCACTCATCTTTTTTTCTAAAAAGTTTGTAATTATAATATGTAGAATGAAAGCTGGGACAAGAGAAACAATGAGATGGCAAAGTCCACAGGTAAGTATCAGGAATTTTAAAATTGTTTAATATGTGTGTGTGTGCTTTTCATTTAGAAAAAAAACTATATGTTGTATAATAAATACGCATACGGAAAATTCTATATAATTCATATTTTGGGTGCTCATTTAAGTTTTGGGTTTTTTTTAATACTTTAAGTTCTGGGATACACGTGCAGAATGTGCAGGTTTGTTACATAGGTATACACGTGCCATGGTGGTTTGCTGCACCCATCGTCTCGTCATCTATGTTAGGTATTTCTCCTAATGCTATCCCTCCCCTATCCCCCGAGCCCTGACAGGCCCCAGTGTGTGATGTTCCCCACCCTGTGTTCTCATTGTTCAACTCCCACTTATGAGTGAGAACATGTGGTTGATTTTCTGTTCCTGTGTTAGTTTGCTGAGAATGATGGTTTCCAGCTTCATCTATGTCCCTGCAAAGGGCATGAACTCATCCTTTTTAATGGCTGCATAGTATTCCATGGTGTATATGTGCCACATTTTCTTAATCCAGTCTATCATTGATGGGCATTTGGGTTGGTTCCAAGTCTTTGCTATTGTGAATAGTGCTACAGTAAACATACATGTGCATGTGTCTTTATAGTAGAATGATTTATAATCCTTTGGGTATATACCCAGTGATGGGATTGCTGGGTCAAATGGTACTTCTGGTTCTAGATCCTTGAGGAATCGCCACACTGACTTCCACAATGCTTGAACTAGTTTACAATCCCACCAACAGTGTAAAAGTGTTCCTATTTCTCCATATCCTCTCCAGCACCTGTTGTTTCCTGACTTTTTAATGATCACCATTCTAACTGGTGTGAGATGGTATCTCATTGTGGTTTTGATTTGCATTTCTCTAATGAGCAGTGATAATGAGCTTTTTTTCATGTTTGTTGGCCACATAAATATCTTCTTTTGAGAAGTGTCTGTTCATATCCTTTGCCCACTTTTTGATGGGTTTTTTTTTCTTATAAATTTGTTTACGTTCCTTGTAGATTCTGGATATTAGCCCTTTGTCTGATGGATGGATTGCAAAAATTTTCTCCCATTCTGTAGGTTGCCTGTTCACTCTGATGATAGTTTCTTTTGTTGTGCAGAAGTTCTTTAGTTTAATTAGATCCCATTTGTCTGTTTTGGCTTTTTTGCCATTTCTTTTGGTGTTTTAGTCATGAAGTCTTTGCCCATGTCTGTGTCCTGAATAGTATTACCTGGGTTTTCTTCTAGGGTTTTTATGGTTTTAGGTTTTACATTTAAGTCTTTAATCCATCTCAAGTTAAATTTTGTATAGGGTGTAAGGAAGGGGTCCAGTTTCAGTTTTCTGCATATGGCTAGCCAGTTTTCCCAACACCATTGATTAAATAGGGAGTCCTTTCCCCATTGCTTGTTTTTGTCAGATTTGTCTAAGTCTCTGTAGGTCTCTAAGAACTTGCTTTATGAATCTGGGTGTTCCTGTATTGGGTGCCTATATATTTAGGATAGTTAGCTCTTCTTGTTGCATTGATCCCTTTAACATTATGTAATGCCCTTCTTTGTCTTTTTTGATCTTTGATGAATCTAGATCTTTAAATGTTAAAACTTTAGCTGTTTTCAATGGCAACAGCCCATAATCATAAAACTTCGGGTAATAAAAACACATGCCAAAAGTAGGCTAAAGAAATTTTTTACATATTCTGTTTGGCATAATTCCACAAATTTTTCAGATGATAAACTAATATTTTTAGAAGCATGTAGGAGTGAAGAAGCTGTGAGAGTATTTTTTCTCTTTCTCATGTTAAGGTTACCAGATCTTTTTTAAAGAAATAATAAATACTACAAAGAAATCACATTTTAAGATTTCTTAAAATCTTTCAATGTCTAGAAAAAGTAAATTAAGAGTTTTAAAATAGTTGTAATAATTAAGCATTTGTAATGTTCACAAATACCTGCTTTTAATTTCATACTCAAGGAGGCTCAGTGATGTAACAGTTCTGAAATCTTTCCAGTTCTAAGGCTTAAAACTATACATTTCAAAATTCACTGTAGCATATCTCACAAAAGGAAGACTAGGCAGTTCTACGCTAAAGTGAAATTTACTGCCAGAACAGTTAGGAACCCTGCAAAGAATACAGTCAATGATGGTAATGAAGAAATAAAAAGACACGAACAAGACCTGGGTTTCTCCTTTCTTCTCATTCGTATAGAAGTCATCCGGCTCTGCAAATATTTCATGGATATGTTTTATCTTAGAGAAACGAACAACTTACGCAATATGCCCCTGTAACAAACCTGCATCCCTGAATCTTAAATAGAAATGGAAATTGAAAAAAAATCTTAAGCTCTAGATTCCTTACCAATGAATGATTATAAAACTTGACCATTGTAATCCCAGCACTTTGGGAGGCCGAGGCGGGCAGATCACCTGAGGTTAGGAGTTTGAGACCAGCCAGTCCAACATGGCGAAACCCCATCTCTACTAAAAATAGAAAAAAATTAGCTGGGTAGGGTAGCAGGCGCTTGTAATCCCAGCTACTCTAGAGGCTGAGGCAGGAGAATTGCTTGAACCCGGGAGGTGGAGGTTGCAGTGAGCTCAGATCGTGCCTCTGCATTCCAGCCTGGGCAACAGAGCAAGACACCTTCAAAAAAAAAAAAAAAAACCATCATTTTGGGAATCAGATTTAAAAGAATTTCCATTACTAAGTAAAACTGAAAGGATGAAAGAAAATAATTTTCAACTTAGAACAACTTTTATAAAAGGAAAGTTTTTCATGGATACCAACTCTTTGGTTATATTTTTGCAAATATTCCAGTCTGTGGCTTGTGTTTTAATAGTATTTTTCAAAGAACAGAAATTTTAATATTTACGGAGTCCAACTTATCAATTTTATTCTTTTATTATTCATTATTTATGGGTTCTAAGAAATCTTTAACCTGGATCACAAAGATAATTTCTTTTTATTTATTTATTTATTTATTTATTTTTATTATACTTGAAGTTCTGGGGTACATGTGCACAACGTGCAGGTTTGTTACATATGTATACATGAGCCATGTTGGTGTTTCTGTTTGGCATAATTCCACAAATTTTTCAGATGATAAACTAATATTTTTAGAAGCATGTAGGAGTGAAGAAGCTGTGAGAGTATTTTTTCTCT